AAGGAATGTGATTTATCGAATCGTTTAATAAGATTTTAGAACATAGATATAATAATAATAATAATAATAATAATAATAATAATAATAATAATAATAATCAGTAGATGCATATGTATAACTATGCCATACATGTACAAGATATCGAAGTTAAAATGTTATAGTTTTCACATTTTCCTTAACGTTTTATAGTTTCTTGAGATTAATTGGTTGTAATAGCTCTAACTAGTGTACCATAACGTTTCAAGGTCATTTCGAGTTATTTGAAAGGAAAAAAAACACAAATATTCGATGTTGTACATACTTTTTAGTACTAGAAATAAGCCATCATTCTGATCGAAGAACGTTTGTTACGTATAAAATATCAAGATTATTTAATATTGTGTCCAGTATAATTAACAATGAAATTATTACGATCGAATAGGAAGTTTAGGGTAACTTTATGTAAATTTAGAAAACATTCAATCATTTGTTCCCACTGTTTTTTATATTTTCGATTTGATTCCCTTCGAACTGGTTAGCAATTCTTTTTTATACATTATAATGTGGTAAATCATCTGATACATGAGATAAAGTATTTATTGTTTTATAGTTTAAACAGTAAAATTTGTTTAATTTTTGCTATCCATCAAATTTATTACGTTGCGGAATAGTTTGCAAAAAAATCTGTTGGCACTGATTGCATTTGACTGAGGTCAAATTGGAGATAGATAAAACAGTGGTAAATTCCACAAAGCATCTAGAATCTTCCTTCGTCATAGTTTGGTCATGAAACATTTCAAAAGGCGATACCACACACAGATGAAACACCTGTATACAGCGAAGATGGGCACAATTTAATTTAAATCATATATCATGTTGGCATTCATACAGGATGTTTTACTTATGTCGACCATTTGATTTTAAGTTTAATATTAATATTCGATATTATATTAATATTAATATTTGAATTTAATATTAATATTAATATTCAATATTATATTAATATTAATATTTGAATTTAATATTAATATTCCTTAAATTTAACATTTAAACTCGATACAACTCTGTTCGCGTATCAAAAAAGAAAAAAGATTGAAAAAAAAGCTTGCGCTTATCTACTAATGCAACGTTAAGTTTGTTTGAAATAAATATTGGCACACAAAGAAGATACGAATTAACATTATTATGAGATAATTACGAATAAAGTGAAACATCCGGTATAGTAGTTTATTCGTTGAGAACGGAGTCTTATCGTTTTCTTTTTTTTTAATTCTATAGATTGTAGAGCAACATTTTTCTTTTTTCTTATTATTTATTCTTCGTTATCGGTGTTTTATTATTTAGTTATAGAAAGCAAATGCCGTTCGAGCTTTGCATATCCGCGAGGATGTACATTACGTATGCATATATACATATATGTGCAGCTGTAGGGAAAACGTTCAAGGCTGAGAATTTGAACGAGTTGGTTTTCAGTGATCTCCCCCCCCCCCCCCCCCCCCCCTA